TGCTGCTGCTTACTACAAAAGGAGACAAGTGGGGCGGCAGCTGCTTCCCGGGTTTGTAGTCTTCAGTGGGCAGCAGCAAACAAGCGTTGATGCAGTCAAAGACCCACTGCGGCTGCACCAGTTCCCGTTTTGCTGCTAAGTCCGCGCCGCATTGCTGCAGCACATCTGCAGCAGCAGCAGCAGCAGCAGCAGCAGCGGGGGGCTTGGGTGCGCGGCGTGGCTGCAGCAGAGGCGGCCCCGAGGGAAGCAAAACTCGTATCGCGCCAAACCCCAAACCCTAAACCCTAAACCCTAAAACCAAACCCCAAACCCTTAACCCACTCCCCACACCCTAAACCCGAAACCCTAAACCCGAACCCCAGGCCCCAAACCCCAAACCCAAGCCCCGAACCCTGAACCAAGCCCCAAACCCCAAACCCTAAACCCTAAACCCTAAACCCTAGCGGACACTCCGGGGGCCTGTCGACGACTTGGTGAGTAATTCTGTTGTCTCCTAATTCAAAAGGAGACCCTTCAGACTGCCACCCCACAGCGCCGCCGCAGCTTCGGATTGCGAAGCACAGCGGCAGCAGCGGCGTCTCCCTGCAGCAGCAGCAGCAGCAGCAGCAGCAGCAGCAGCGGCTGGGTGCGCGGCAGAGCCACAGGCAGCAGCAGCAGCGCAGGCACGCATGCAGCGCCAGACGGGACGGCTGCAAAGGCCGCAAAAGCAGCAGCAGCGACTGCGAAAGCAGCAGCAGCAGCAGCAGCAGCAACAGCACGATCAGCAGCAGCAGCAAACCTGCAGAGAAAGAAAACTAGGCCCTTGAACAGATTCTGAACGGGATGGGGTTCGCATATTTCCACTTCACTCTCTGTCTCCTTTGCTGCTTCCTAAGCAGCAGCAGCAGCAGCAGCAGCAGAAAATGACGCAGGCACACGTGTGGGGCCTCAAACGCAGCAGCAGCAGCACGAGATGCAGCCGACGACGCAGCAGCAGCGGGTGCAGCAACAGAAGCAGCGGTAGCACGCGCAGCAGCAGCAAGAGCAGCAGCAGCAACAAGTGCAGCAAAAGGAGCAGCAGCAGCACGTGCAGGAGCAGCAGCACGTGCAGCAGCAGCAGCAGCAGCACGTGCAGGAGCAGCAGCAGCAACTGCAGCAGCAGCATGCCTCTGCTTTATCTTCTGCTGCTTCTTCCTCTGCCTCCTCTTCTGTGTCTTCATCTTCGCTGCTGCTGCTGTCTGCTGCTGATTCATCTTCTGCTGCTGATTCATCTTCTGCTGCTGATTCATCTTCTGCTGCTGATTCATCTTCTGCTGCTGAGTCATCTTCTGCTGCTGAGTCATCTTCTGCTGCTGCTTCATCATCATCATCATCTTCTTCTTCTGCTGCTGCTGCTGCAGCTACTGCTGCTCGTTCTTTCTTTTTGCTGCTCACTTTTTTATTTTCTTTTGCATTCTTCTGTTTTTTTGTCTCTTCTTCAATTTCCTCTTCTGTCTCCTCTGCTTCGGAGCCGCTGCTGCTGCTGCTGCTGCTGTTGCTGCTGCCAACGCTTGTTGCTTCGTGGTCCTCTTCATCCTCTTCCGTCTTGTGCTGCTTCCGTGCTGCTGCTTCTTTTCCCGCTGCTGCTGCAGCCCCCTTCCCTGCTGCTGCTGCTGCTGCCTCTCGCTTTTCTGCTGCTTCTCCCTTTGCTGCTGCTGTTGCTGCTGCTGCTGGCTGCGGGGCCTTTTCTATCCGGAGCAAGTGGAATCTGCTGGCGGGCTGCTGCAGCCTGTGGGAAGCAACGTAGGGCGAGCCAGCAGCAGCAGCAGCAACAGCAGCTTTTGCTGCTGCTGCTAGGCGGGGGGGGTAGCGCAGCTTTTTAAGTTTGTAAAGTTTGAAAAGAATACTTTGCAGCAGCCCGCAGTAAAGCAAAGAATAAGTTTCCAGAACTCGGAAGTCCACTTCTGCTGGCAAGTTCTGAATTAAAAAGAAATAAAAGAATTTAATTTAATTAAAAAGAGTTTTTTAATTCAAAAAAATTCAATTAATTAACATAAGCCAAGCTGGGCCGAAAGACTTCAACTCCGGCGCGCAGCAGCAGCAGCAGCAGCAGCACAGCAGCACCACTACCAGCAGCAGCAGCACAGCAGCACCACTACCAGCAGCAGCAGCAGCACAGCAGCACCACTACCAGCAGCACAGCAGCACCACTACCAGCAGCAGCAGCACAGCAGCACTACTACCAGCAGCAGCAGCAGCACAGCAGCACCACTACCAGCAGCAGCAGCACAGCAGCACGACTACCAGCAGCAGCAGCAGCAGCAGCAGCAGCAGACCTGGGCGAAGCTGTGGGGTACGATCCAGGCGATGTCGACTCCGAGGAGTTGAATTTGGAAGTAAAACCCTTTAATGGAAATGAAAGATTTTCGCAAACATTTAAAAAAAGAAATAAATAAAAGAAAAAAGTCACACAGCTGCTGACACTGCTGCTGCTGCCCCGCGGGGAGGCCCCTCGCTGCTGCGCACGGGAGGCCTGCAGCAGCAAACGCAGAACAGTTTATTTTGATTTTTGTGTATTCGTTTTATTGTTTCTTTTATTTATTTGTTTGGTTATTTGTTTGTTTTTTATTTCTATTTCGTTTGTTTTTATTTAATTGTTTTCTAAAACAAAAAAGATACTCTAATTCGGAAAACTCGCAAAGTTTTCGCCAAGGACAGAACCAGCAGCAGCAGCAGCAGCAGCAGCAGCACAAAAAGAAAAAGGAAGAAAAAGAAAAAAATAAGACAATGAAGAACGTGCCAGGAGAGCTATAAAATAAACTGAAATAAATTAAATTAATAATTTCCATTACATTATTTTATGTCAAATTATTATAAGTTGGAAACAATTAATTATTTGGAGACAATTAAATAACTGCTTTCAAAAGATAAATAAAACAATTATTCATAGACAATTTTTTATTTATTTAAAAACAATTTATTAATGACCTCAAAACAATTGGTAAATTAAATAGTTAAACACAATTAATGAATTAATTAATCAACTTAATTAATTCAATTAATTGATTTAATTTAATTAATTTACTTAATTAACTAATTAATTAATTTATTTATTTATTAGTTAATTAGTTAATCAAGTAATACAACTAAAAGGTTATTTACGTGCAATTGAAAAGCCATTCAATTGCAATTAAAGAGCCACTTAATTGCAATTAAAAAGCCTCTTAAATGCATTTGAAAACATCAAAGAGCAATTGGAAAAAAAACCCCGAAAAAGCCGCAAAAGCGCCCGCGCGGGAAACCCCAAACCCCAAACCCTAAACCCTAAAAGGTGGTTTTGGGGTGTATTTCGGCGGTTTTCCGGCGGTTTTTTGTGGGAAAAAAGGAACCCAAAGGATTTAAAAGAGCTCCGGAGTTTGGGGAAAAGAAAAGAGGAAAAAAACGCACTTGGGAGGAGAAAAAGGAGAGAAAGGGCCTCCTGGAGGGCCCCCAGGGCCCCCTGGAAGGTGCGGAACTGCTGCTGCAGCAGCGCATGCAGCGGCATTTGGAGTTTTTGTCTTTTTGCAAACTTGGCTTTTTTTTTTAATCCTTTTCGGAGACTTTTTCGGACTTTCTTTGCTGCTGCTGCTGCGCCCCGCAGCCACTGCAGCAGCAGCAAATCCCCAGAAAGCTGCAGCAAATCTTTCTTGTGGTAATATATTTCTTTCTTCGAAAACTTCCCCGAAGGCTCTCGAGGATAAATTCCTTTCAAAATGCAGGCCCGTCGAAAGTTCGACAAAGACAACTGCATGCACGCCAACGCAAACGGCTAGCTGGCTAGCTAGCTAGCTGGCTGGCTAGCTGGCTAGCTAGCTAGCTAGCTGCCTAGCTGGCTACCTAGCTGGCTGGCTGGCTAGCTGGCTAGCTAGCTGGCTAGCTAGCTGGGTAGGTGGGTGGGTAGCTGGCTGGCTAGCTAGCTGGCTAGCTAGCTAGCTGGCTGGCTAGCTGGCTAGCTAGCTGGGTGGCTAGCTAGCTGGCTAGCTGTCTGGCTAGCTGGGCGGGTGGGTGGCTAGCTAGGTGGGGGGGTGGCTAGCAAGCTAGCTAGTTAACTGGCCATTTAAGTGGATGGCTAGCTAGCTAGCTGGCTGGCTAGCTGGCTAGCTAGCTAGCTAGCTAGCCAGCTAGCTGGCAAGCTATATAAACAGTTAAATGAATGCAAGTGAATTAACAAACAATAATGTCATGAAGATAAAAACAGTAAAACCAAAAGAATGAAAATATAAACAATAATTCCTTATATCTGCAGATATTTTCCTATTTAATGGGGAAGGAGATAATTGCTAGCAGCAGCAGCAGCAGCAGCAGCAGGAGTGAGCGGTAAGGAGCAACAGCAGCAGCAGAAAGACACTGGCAGCAGCACGGTATGCAGCAGCAGCAGATGAGAACTGCAGCAGAAGCTAAAGGAGACAGATCAGCAGCAGCAAAAGCTAAAGCAGGCAGTTGAGCAGCAGCAACTGTGCAGCAGCAGCAGCAGCAGAAGCAGCAAAGAGGTAGCCCACGGCAGCAAGAGCAGCTACATCAGCAGCAGCAAGTGACTATGGCTTTAATAGCATGAGCAGCAGCAGCAGCAGCTAGTGCAGCAGCAGCAGCAGCAGCAGCAGCACGAACCTGCAGCTTCTTGAGGGCTTGGCTCCTCGTGATGTATTGAGCTGCTGCTCCCTTTTTGAGCTTTTTCGTTTTTGTCCCCATTTTGACTTAAAATGAAAAAAAAGAAATAAAAAGATATAAAAAAGAAATGAAAAAGAAATTAAAATGAAATTAAAATGAAATTAAAAAAAAGAAAAGAACAAAAGTGGGACAAAAAGAGGTACTAGGGGCCCCCAGAGAAGCAGCAAAAAGAAAAAGGGGCAGAAGAGCCTTTTGCTGCTTCGAACTGCAGCAGCAGCAGCAGCAGCAGCAGCAGAAGCAGCTGTGGGGGAGCAGCAGCCCGCTCAAACGCAGCAGCAGACCTCCCCAAAAGAGTTTAATTGCTTTAAATCCAAAAGTCTTTTAATTAAATTCAAAACAAAACAAAACCAAAAAGAAACTAAATGGCAGCAGCAGCAACAGCAGCAGCAGCATCGGGGCCCCACACCTAGGGCCCCACCCACTCAGCCCCGGGGGCCCCTGGG